GTTTTATCTTGGAAAGCTTTCTCTTTTTCGACTAAAATACCTTGTTTTATTCATCACAGCCAACATATACCCAATCAAGATGAAACTTAAAGCTCTTAGTGCATCAAAGAAAAAAAAAACTAAAAAACTAACTGTTTCTTAGTTCTTAAAAAAACTCCATGTAGTTCATTTAGAAAGCTTACGTTTTTAACCTTTTTTTTTTTACACGATAAGCATGCAGACCTTATATATTAGAAAAACAAGAAAGCTATTTATGCCCAAACATTACATAGAAAAATATCAAAGCCATTTTTTACTGTAAAATTTTATAGGAAAAGCATAGAATATCCTATACATATAAAGAATGTCTGAAAATGGGTCCAAAAGAGATACATTTTTTCAAGTTTTTTAAAGACTCTTACTTTCTTCTTTTTTTATAAATCTCTAACATTGTTTTTGGCAAAGCACTCTCTTTCCTTTACATTTTTTTTTAACAGCTAAAAAGACTTCTTTATCTTACGTGAGCATTTGTTTTTTCTTTTTCGTAGTGTGCTATTTTTTTTTACCCTCAATCTCTCTCCTTTTTTCTTTTATGTATTTGGCTCCTTTTTTAGTCTTCCTCTCCTCCTCTTTTTTTTGACTGAACTCTCTAGCCCTCTTTTAAGAATCAGCTCCTTTTCAAAATATCTCTTTTTGGATGAATATAATCCCTTGGATCCAATCTCATCCAAGGGTTAAAGTTTCTTCCTTTTTTTTTTCAAGGAACAAACTTTGGCCAATGGATCAAGATTAATGAGAGATCTAATGGTCCCCCTTATTCACTACAAATGTTAGATTTTTATAGCCTCTAAATCCATAAAAAGATAATTTTACCCACAATACAAAGTTTTTGGTATTTAGGCCATTTTCTTATAAATCAATGCTCATATGCTCATTTTTAATATTTTAAAACACCAAAAATCATGAAATATTATAAAATTGAGATCTAAAAAGTTTCATGAAAATTCAAGCTCGAAAAGATCAAATTACAAAAATACCCCTATAAAGGTATTTCAATAATTTCACACTTTTTTGGGGTACTGCTATGATTTTCAATGCACCAAAAATCATAAAATATTATGAAATTAAGATCTAAAAAGTTTCAAAAAAATTCAAGCTCAAGAAGGGTAAATATGAAAAATACACTTATAAGGGTATTTTGGTACTTTTATACTTCCCTCAGTGCAATAAAAGTTTTTAGTGTTTTAAAAATTATCAAATTTAATTTTAAACCATATTGATTCTAATTAGATTGTGAACTATGAAGATTAATCCTAGTTCTATTCATTTTGATCAAGTTTAGTGTAATTTTGACTAGAATTGACTTTAAAGTTTACTTATTTCATTTATTTGTTATTTCTCATACATCCACGTGAAAAAATATTATCCATATAAATCTCATGCAAAAAAATTTAACGTTAATCATATGGGTCTCTTTTTTATTAGGCCTAAACATTGATGCATTTTATGAACTCTTAAAGGGTTGTAAATGGGTCTGGGTTAACCATGCTAAAATGTTCGAGATGAAATTTGGTATCTACAATATCCACTATCCCTATCTTATCAAAAGCCTTTACTTATTCATGTGTCATTTCATGTCTTAGTTTAAGGATAGCATGGTTTGTGTTTACGCATAAAGAAAGCTCTCATTTCTTCTTGTTGGCTTTCACTACCCCTTTATTATTGCTCAGGTTGGTTGCAGACATCGAAGTTTTGGTAGTATTTGAAGTCAACGATTCTTTCCCTTTGTCCCTCATTTCTTTATTGTTGATACTTTTTTTTTTTTGGGTATTGTTTCTTTTTCTTTTGTCAGATTGCTCCATCATAAATTTCTTGCTTACTTTAGGGTAATTTTTTCATGATCATGCATAGATTTTGGGTAATGGGTTGTTATGGTCTCTTGGTTAAAGGCAATGTCCTTAGATTTTTTAAACCTGATTTGTTACAATGTCTCATTCTCTGTACAATCATCAATGGCCTAAACCCTTCATCATCTGTTTTTTATTACTAGTATCATTTGTCTCCATCTTCACTTACTATTATTGGTATTTGAGAACCAACTAGATGTTGCTTGTGATAATTTTATTAGGATAAAAGTCTTTTCAATGGCCTAGCCTACCATAATGAAAACATAGTGTTTCAATACTCTTGTAGATAATAGCTTGTTTTCTTTCTTCCACTCTAATATACTTAGGTAGGGGTTTTTTCAAGCTCATTTGAACACAGATTCTAGCATACCTACCCCTTTCGCCCACAAGAGTGTGTTCATCCATTCTAAGGAGAACCCTAATATGCCAACCAATTTTTTTCAAGATTTCAAGGTCGAAATAATCAATTGGAAGCTTAGGTAATCTTAACCAAACTATTACTAAAGAGAACGAGGCTTCAAAAGCTCTAAAGTTTGGCTCCCATCTTCTAATGGTCTAAAAAGGCCCTCCTATGAACTACCATCCTCATTTTAAGACATAGTTATAATCTTCAACGTTTTGGAATTTCAAAAGAAAAAAGTCCTAACCCAGATCAACCATACATGGACTCTCTTGAAGTTTCCATAATAGATTAATTTTCATTATTAGGTATTTATACCTAACAGTTTTTCTAAAAACTTTCACAGTGAGGGACAACGCCCACATTTCTCTAATTTTTCTCTTTTTATATGCATTGAGAGAGATTCTTAACTTTCATCATTCTTCCAATTCTTCAAAGCCATCTTACTCTTTTTCTGAAACCACCTCTATTTCCTCACAATTAGACTCATCTTCAATGGTATCATAGGCTCTGTAACCTCCACCAAGAACTAAGTCACTATATGATATTTTATATCTTTCTATTGATTTCCTTTCACAAACATTTTGTGATGTTTCATGTTTATCTTTAACTTTTTCGATACTCCAATGAAGTTTTGTTATTTCCACTCCGGAAGATTCTGTGATGTTGTTAACAATTGTTTCCCTCAAGATGTCATGAAACAAATATTATCCAAGTCACTTTGTAAGGTGTTTCTAAATAGCACCTCACGGTGTAATTACTTTCAGTCTATGATTAAAAAAAAAAAGTATCTTGACATTTTGTGTTGAGTAGATTTGTTCAAGATATAGATTATTTGTTCAAATTTGAAAGTTTATCTAAAATTTGGAAAAGCTTAAAAATAAATTTAAGTTAGTGAAATAGGTTTGGACTTGAATTTTAAGTTATTTTTAGCTTTGGTCGTAACATTTAAACCCTAATTCGATTTGAATAATTTTTATATATTTTTTTGTATTTATATTATATCACATAAAAATGTAATTAAATAATATATATGTTCACATTAATACTATATATCTATATATACAAATTCCATCCAAACATCAAATTAAATTAACTTATTTTATTAATTTTTTATTTGTCATAGTTAATATTTATTATAAAAATTATTTTTATTTTTTGAAATTAAAATATGGACAGACTGGGGTGGGTTTGAACAATTCCTTTTAAAAATTGGACGACTTAAACAAAAAATTTAGATTCATATTTTAGGTCTAATCAAACTTAGGCAAACCTAAAGTTTGTTAATATTATGCTTGGGCCGAGCCCGAGTTAGGCCCAACCTAGCCATGGATAGATTTAGTATCAAGGGATCAACTAAATTAATAAAAAAATAAAAATGATAATAAATGTTTGAAAAAATAAGTGCAGTTAGCTAAAAGAAAAAACCAATATATATCTTTAGTACTAGAAAATTTGAAACAACGTTATGAAAGTTAAAATGTTGAAAGGTAAATTATTTATATAATTTATTTGAGTGAGTTAATATTTGTGACAAATTTATTATTTTTAAAAGTTTATAAATAATTATTGTAGATAGAATAAATAAAAAAACTAATGTGATTTTAATTCTTTTTAAATTACAATACATAAAATTATTTAAAGATAAAAAATAAAATTAACAAATAATAATTTTAATATGAAAGCTAATCTAATTCATTTAATATATACATAAAATAAGTATAGCATATAGTATAATTAAAGTTTTCAAAATTTTGAAGGCCTTGTCCAAGGTGGATGCCATTGAACAACTTAACTCTAAGTCCTCGTTTCGATTGAAATGGATTTTTAATATAGTTGCAATCAGAAGATGTGCCAACAGTCATTTTTTTAATACAAATGAATATATGGCGCGATTCAAAATTGACCAATTATTAATCGATAAGTTTGATATTTGTATATTCAATATCATAAAAAATATTAAAATTTATGTATTTGTATTATGTTTTATATAAAAATTATGTGTAATAATTTGTAAAAACATAAAAATATAAAATATATTTTTATAATTTTGTTAAATTATTATAGTTATTATTAAAATTTTAAGTCGTATCACATTCGTATTTTATATTCATATAATATTTTTATCATGTTATCTTATCATATTTTAGATTATCAAATTTATTAACCCAATAATTTTTAGTTCAATTGATTAGTGTAATTTTTTTTTGTTTTTATCCTTTAAAATTTATTATTATGTCTAAAATGTCTATACAACTTTTTTTATTTTTTTTAAATTGTAAAATAAATTTGATAATTTAATATAATAAATAAATCTTATTATTTAATACATTAATAAATAATTTGAATAATTATTAAATAATTTAAAATTATTTATTATATGCAAATTTTAATATAATATTTGTAATTATTATTTTTTTATTATAATTCATTTTATCATTGTCGTTATTTTTCATTCAAATACATATTTTATCATTAATCTTATTATCACATTAAATAATTTTTTTATCTATCTTTATTTTTTATCTTACTCTTTATAAATCTTAAATTAATAAAAAATCAATTATTTTAATATAAATAATAAAAATTTTCATTATCATTGTTACGTTTTATATTCAAACACGTATTTTCATCGTCAATTTTAGGTTAACGGTTACCATTCCTAATCTTATTTAATTTCACCGTTGCTGAGTGGATGTTGAAAAAGACCTCAAGTGTCCCGAAATGTCTACTCCTTTTTTGAGTTGACAAATTTGCCGTAACGTGCTCCATCGGTCAAACACCGCCTGCCCCTTCAGCTCTCACTGAAACCCCGACATACATGCCCGATTTCCCTGCTCCTTTTCGTCCTCTTTCATTTCGCTGGCAAAATACAAACAGAACAACGGAAATCAAACAAAGTTTCCTTTGAAAACAACTTCAAACCATTTTCCTGAGAAACCAAAGAAAAAAACAAAAGAGAGAGATAAAGACATGGCTCTCCATCTCACTACCGTTTCCATAGCCCTCGTCCTCCTCCTCGTCCGATCGCTACTCGCCACGTCATTCCCCCTCAACATCACCGACAACGCATCGTCAGCCTACGAAATCCTCCAAGAGTATAACTTCCCCGCCGGCCTTCTCCCCAAAGGAGTCGTAAAGTACGATTTAGACGAATCCACGGGCCGATTCCATGCCTACTTCACGGGTTCGTGTAGCTTCTCATTAGAAGGATCTTATCAACTCAAATACAAATCCACAATCAGCGGAATCATTTCCAATAACAGGCTCAAAGACCTTAGTGGAATAAGCGTCAAGGTCCTGTTTTTATGGCTGAATATCGTGGAGGTTATTAGAGATGGAGATGAGCTGGAGTTTTCAGTGGGCATTGCCTCTGCTAGCTTTCCAATTGATAACTTTTATGAGTGTCCGCAGTGTGGATGTGGATTGGATTGCGTTAATAGTAAAGTAAGCAAGTTTAGAGTTAAGTCATCTTTTGCTTCAATTTAGAGGAATTTGTTTAATAAAATAATTATATTATTGAATTTTCTTAAATGGGATTTGGATGATGGGTTGTTTTCATCTTAGGTTGAATTGAACTGGGTTTTGGTTATTTGTTGAAATTGATGGAGTTTTACTTTCAACTCGTGTGTGTGTTTGTGTGTGTATGTGTGTGTGTGTGTTTCTGTTTATGTGGTTGCTATTGGTTTCACTGCTTGGTTTAGGGAAGGACTGATCAACCGATGCAATAGTGCTATTAATATATCAATACAATTTTTTTTCAATGCTACGAGAGAGATAATTTAGAATGCTAAGACTAGGGTTGGGACATGTTGAAAAGACTCTTATCCTGTTGTATTTTTATGTAGGACTATCAACTATGGGTGTTAGTGTGGGTCTTAAAATAAGGTTATGCTTTACAAGATCATCTCCTGTTTATGTTGGTGGAACTGCCAAACCGAGAATTTGTAAAACAACTTATTAACTAGTAACTACTAAGGGAATAGGAACGAGGTAAAGAGGGTTGAAAGAAGGGCTAAGGCAGGCGTGGAAGTAGTGAGTATTGTGGGAGGTGAAGTAAGTAGCAGGTAGTAACTGGACATGAGGGGTAGTAGGAAGGTAAAGAATGTTGCAGGCAGGGATTATGCATGAGAATTGAGAATTGCAATCGTACATTTGAATCCAGAGTTGAATCATTAGCCCAACTCTTTACAGTATCTCTAGTGTTGGGTTGGGAATTGAGATGTATAGGAACTCCACAGGATATTTCTATAGGCATGATCTCTGTTGCTCATTCCACAAGCACCCTTTAGCTGAGAACTTCAATTAGAAAAGTTATCATTTAACTTGCATGGTATGGAGTTTTCATTTAGTGGTTTGCATATATGATCAAGGCACTGATCACGTGATTGTTAAAGCATGCCAGATTCAAAAAATGGAACTAGATAAGTCGTATTGGTGTAGTGTTGTTGCTTGCTGCTTGCTGCTTGCTGCATCTTCAAATGAAAATATATGGCAAGATGCCATTTATGGCCATTTGAAGTGATTAAAATTGCTGTTGCACTAGTTTAATTTAGTTGTCATAGGCAGTCTGTTTGTATCATGTTAAATCTGGGCTTATAAAGACATTTTAGACCCGGTGTTTAGCTCAGAGTTTGCCTTGGCATAATAATAAGCCTTATTTTAAGTTTTGATGTTTGCAAATGTTCTAGTTCAGGATGACTGAATGAGGATAACTTTTATCTGTTAAATAAATTGGTGATGATGGCTGAAGTTCTTAATTCGGTTTTTATAGTAGGTATGCTATTTGTAACTTTGAACAATCTTGAGAAGCTGAAAACTTAGTGATAATGTTTCTTTTGTTCAATCAAGATGTAAGAAAAGTCTAAAATTGGATTAGTTGATAAGGACTTGGACTCGATAAATGTTTGTCAGTTTTTGGACTTATTCACTGCTAGATGTTACAAGTACATAGTTAGATGTCAGACATAAACAGAGGGGAGTAAATTTGTCCTCCATAGCTGCATTTGTGCTCTAGTTCTAGTGGAGATTGCCTTCTTGAATTAATGTCATGTTTGTTTTAAAATATCTATAAAATATCATATCATTCTGATAACATTGCATTGGTGGTCCAATTCATTGAACTAAGCTGTCTTCACTCTTTATTGAGAAGATATTATTGGAAGTAACAACTAAAAAGGCTCTGCCTGTCTCGTCCAGAAGCTGGAACTCTTTGGGATGGGGGAGCTATAAATCTTTATACATAATTTCAATCTGTTTGAACTTGAGAAAGATAAAGAATGCTTTTGTGCAAGAGAGGAAATCAGAATTTCCCATGGAAAATAGCTTTAGCTTTTCTCTTTTGGATGACACCAATCAAAACAAATGGTAAATTCGTTCCCTGGTGCAGATCAGATGCGATATTTCTATGATAATATCAGAATTTCCATATAAAGTGACATTAACACGATTGGAATATAAAGGTAATTTTCGCTCAACAGCAAACAATTGAACTACGAAGTGGATAACCAAATAAGAGTTTTTAAAAAATTATGATGCAACAATCAGAACTATATACCCTTTGTTTTCCAGCAGTAGATACAAAGAAGTTAAGCACTCTTTTCTTGACGGTCCTTTGCAAATCAAATTCCCATCTCACTCCTGATAACAAATCACTTACATTTACTGTTTTTTCCTTGCTCTGCCTCCCTCTCGTTCAGAGATAATATGAGAGGCCGGTGCTTGAAAATGTTATTGTTATCCTTTTAAATATGCACGTCAACTATCTGAGTTACATAGCTATTTTATCAACTACCATTATCCCTTGTTTAATGACTGATTCCTTTATCACTGAAGGGAATTTATTTTTCCATGGGACAACCTTTCAAATTCAAGCACCAATTGGATGCAAAAGAAAACTGATTTTTGCAACTTGGGCCGCTTCTAGGCAATTGAAACTTTGGTGGCTGATATCAACTATCACATATGTCCAGTCATAAAAATCTCTGAGTTCCACTACCTGAAAGATTTTACCCACCATTGTCAAAAAAAATATATATCATTATTCTCCAGAGCCGGCAATTTGTGGCTGGCAGATTTTTAGATTTCAACCCGCTTTAAGTTTTCTGGCTTGTGAAGATTCTCCTCATTATCCATCTGCACTGTGAAATTGTGAACCTTGTTGACGTTTTCAATTGAGTGGTAATGGTTGCCAACTCAGGAGCACGTAATTTCATTGAACTGACAAAAATCGGCACTAAAAAAGGAGTTTTTCTCTGAGTTCTTCTGCTGCAAAGCTATTTTAGCTTTTGCCAGACATATACAAGTTTTTTTTTTTCAGTCGACCAAGCAGCTTTCAATTTGAAACGCACTTGAGTTCCTAAACGAACATAATATTTTAGGAATAGTTTAGGAACAAATTTAATTTCTGTTTATTTATTATTATTTATTAAATTTAAAAAATAGTTATGAATAATATTTTAAATTTATTAATTAAATAAATAAATTATGAATGTAACAAAATTATATTCAATTTATTTATCCTTTTAATTGTCTTTCACTTAATAAAAAAATGCCATCAATTATTAGTCAATCAATCTTCATATTTGTTTTTGCTAAGCTCCGAGTTTAAAGTTAAAGTTTTGAAATTATAAAAAAAAAAAAACAATTAGGGTAAAAATAAAAAGTATTTTTTGTATTTATATTTTGATATTTAAATCAGAGATTGTGACTAAAGAGATTAGAAGAAAAAAAATAAAGATATAAGATAGAATATGATTGAATTGATATAATTTGATAAATCGAAAAATAAAAAATTTATGAAATAAAATAATAATATAACTAAATTGATATAATATTATATATGTCAAATCAATCGATACATTAGTTAACTCAAAAATAAAATATACTCTTAATTATTTACTAATAATTTTTAATAAAAAAGATGACCAATATATCCTTTAAACTAAAAAATACCACTAACAATGTCAAAGTATCTGATTAGGGATGGCATCGGGTCGGGTTCGGGGCGGGTTTTGCTCGCCCCGAACCCGACCCTACCCGAAATTTTTTTTGTTTTTTCATACCCGAATCCGAACCCGATCCGACACTATATAAATCGTATCCGACCCGATCCGACCCGAAATTAATAAAATATTATTTTTTAAATATAAATATTTAAAAATATCATTATATAAATATATATATAATTAAAAAATTAAAAAATTAATTAAAAAAATTATTTTTATATATATCGGGTCGGGTTTGCCTAAAACCCGACCCCGACCCGACCCGACGTTGTTTCATGCTACTCGACCCGACCCCGACCCGACCCCCGATTTTCAAAAAAAAAAAACCGACCCTAAAAAATCGAGTCGGACCGAAACCCGTCGGGTACGGATTTTTTTGCCTTCCCTATATTTGATCTAAAGTATTATTCTATCAATGTTCTTTTCTTGTGTTGAATGAGTGTTGAAATTAATTATTCTGGCTCTTTCAACACGATCGTCTTCATTCGGACATAGCATCTTCTCCAAGGCTTGGGATTTAGACAATTCACCGCATCACAAAATTATTTTATGAGGTTTTGAGTCACCAATATTAAGAAAAGTGAAAGAATGCCATCCGCATTTTGATGGTTACCTGAGAAACTTATCATCGATGTATGCGATCCACTGCATAATTTTTTTTTATGAGATATTTTATAATTTTTAATTATTAATTTCTTTTTTATGAAATATCTTTTAATATTTTTTTTTAAAAAAAGTCACAACCTAAATATATAATAAGTAATTATAATTGTTAAGATTTCTATCTAGACTTCTTGTTGTTGGATGCTTTTTTTTAAATAATTATATAAGTTAATTGAATTAAATTTTAAATTTATTTTTAAATTTTGACGATTATTTAATAATTAATTTATATCTTAAACTTTTTAAAAGTAATTGCATAAATTAATTAAATTAAATTTTGAATTCATCTTTTAATTTTATGGTTATATAACAACTTATTTATATCCCAAACCTATTTGTTGCTAGAAGAAACCTTTTAAAAGTAATTAAATAAATTAATTGAATTAAATCTTGATTTAATCTTTTAATAGTTTCATTATTATATGTTAATGTTTCTAACTTTTGGATAAACTAATGCGATAATAAAGGTGATAATTCCCTGGTGTTGTCCTGTAATTATTAATAAACTAAAATAATGTATTAATTGGTAACCACTTGTATAAAATAAAACAAAATGCAACCAAACGTTCGGTTAATGTCCCTTCCCGTCTTTAATGACATGAGAACTGCTAATTTTGTTTGTGGAAAAGTATACCACAAAGAAAAAGAAAAAGTGCAAATTAAGCTTATTAATTTTCTGTTAAGTAGTGAAATCTAAACAAATTATTCAAAGTTAAAGGTACAAATGAATCTAATATAAACTGATTTGATTATATTTTTGGTTAATTATCTAACTCTTAAAATATTGTTTATTATAATTTATTAAGTTTAATAAACGATCAAAAATCAAATCTATTTATAAATTGTTTGTCAAATGATCTATGA